GGTGACAGTAAAACAAACAAACAAACAAACAAACAAAAAAACTAGCAGTTGCCGGGGTTGTAGGGGTTGGAGAGAAATGAATAGGTGAAGCACGAGATTTTTAGAGCAGTAAAAATACTCTGTGTGATACTATAATGGTGGACACATGCCATACATTTGTCTAGACCCACGGGATATACAGCACCAAGAGTGAACCCTAAACTATGGACTTTAGGTGATAATGATGTGTCAGTGTAGGTTCATTGACTGTAATAAATATGCCACTTGTGTGGTGATTGTTGATAAGGAGAAGCTCTGCATATTTCTTTCGATTTTGCAGTGACTTAAAAACTGCCCTAAGAATATAAAGTCTTCAAAAAACCCCAGGCCCTATTATGGTAAGAAAAATAGTCATAAAAATGGTTAAGATGGTAAATTTTATGTGATGTGTATTTTAATACAACACAATAAAAATAAAGTCTAAAACTTAGAAGAAAAAAACTCCTGGAAGCAGAGTCAGAGGTCCCATCTCTGAAAGACCCATGACAAGTGGGTAGTTAATCCAAAAGAAGTGCTGCCCCAGGAGCTGCCCCTGAGTGGGGTGTGCAGGTAGGAAAGACCAGTGAGGTAGGACCCAGAAGCCTCCAGGTAGCTGGGGCACGTGCAGAGAGGCAGCACGCAGAGGTGCACATTTCTAGGCCCATATTTGATCTCACAAGCTGCGCCTGCAGAAAGGAATGGAGCCATGTAGCGGGTGCTCATGTCCGTAGGGGCTGGGAGATGCTCATGCTAAGGCAGAGAAGGAGCAAGGCTGGACCGCAGTCATCGCAGAGTGGGATGGCTCAATGGGTCTCACAGGAAACAAAGTGCTGTGACACGAACAAAAATGAGAGTGGCAAGCTTGGAGACCACAGGTGAGACTGGCATTTAAAGTGTTAGCTTCTCATGCATCAGAGGTGGTGGCTGGGAGCAAGTCTGCCCTTGCAGGGAGGAGTATTTGATCACTGGCAATATTAAGAATTGTTCGTGCATGGTAATATGTAAGAGCCAACTCACTTTTAGTAGAGTTGATTGTTTAAAAATTTTCTACAGATGATGATTCCTGGAACAGCCCCTCTTCTTTTCTACTCCATATCCTCCTTTTGCTGGCTAATTTCTAGTCAAATTTCCAAACTCAGTACAGGCATGTTACCCTCCTGGAAGTGTTGCCTGGGCTTCGCATCCTACCTGCCCCCAGCTCACCTCAACCAAGCCGAGTAGTCACCCCTTCTCAGCATATACTGACTTAGGAAGGGAAATTGTCTATTTAATCATGGTACCGGGTCTTGATCATCTCTGCATGCTCAGAAACTAACACTGTGCCTGGCACATGGCAGGCATTCAATAAAGGTTTGTTGACTGACGGAATGAATGAATACTTATAAAGAACCCACCCAGGCCGGGCGCAGTGGCTCATGCCTGTAATGTCAGCACTTTGAGAGACCAAGGCAGGCAGATCACGAAGTCAGGAGATCAAGACCATCCTAGTCAACATGGTGAAACCCCATCTCTACTAAAAATACAAAAAAATAGCCAGGCATGGCAGTGTGTGCCTGTAGTCCCAGCTACTCAGAAGGCTGAAGCAGGAGAATTGCTTGAACCTGGGAGACGGAGGCTGCAGTGAGCCAAGATAGCGCCACTGAACTCCAGCCTGGGCGACAGAGAGAGACTCCATCTAAAAAAAAAAAAAAAAAAAACACAACAAACAAACAGAAAAACAAAAAACCCACCCAAATGATACCTTCAACCCCAAGGTAGCCTAGGATTAACAGAAAACATCTTAGGTGAAAGCCTTTTCCAGTAGCCACCCCCTGTTACCACATATTTTGGATTGAATGTAGCATAGGACAGTTTGAGTAGTTAAAAATGGATTAGAAGCCATTACATTAAGGGCATAAAGTCTTGGAAGGCAATGCCTGCTGCCAGAATGTTTGGAGGAAAACAGCCGCTTGCTTTTCTTTTGAAAGAAAGAATATCACATCATTATATACAATGAGTCAGTTAAACTGTTTAGCTGAACTTTTCATTCTGGTTACAAATGAAGGGTGTTCTATACAAAGTAGCTAGGGAATAGCCTCTACAGAGGTTGGTAGATTTTTGTTTTAAAAACCCAAGACTGATGTCTGCATTATTAGGCATATGATTTTCACCAAGTTTATCAACCATTGTTCTCAACTCATAACCCTAGCTTATGATCTAAACAAAAAGTGATTTGTGGAGGGGGAAAAAGAAGAAAATAGAAAAGAATTAATGAACTATAGTTAGTTATTTCCTGCCACTTCAACGTTGATAAAAACTGCTCTATTTGCCCACTCAAAGGAAAAATCCGTTCTCAAAATTCAGACAGTGAGTGGGCCCTGCAGGGAAGGATTCACCTTTTTAAACTCTTGGGGTCCCTGTACAGACCATTTAATATGAGGAGGAGTGAACAAACACAGGAAGGGTTGGTGAGCGGGAGAAAGGAAGTACTGGGGTGGAATTCTTGCAGAATGTTTTAGGGAAAAATAAATAGAGAACGGAAGAGCATGGGGCCACGAATGTAAAAGCTACCAAAAATGCAGAAGTCAGATCACCCCCATTGTCAGCAACAATGCGGGAGAAACAGAAATCCTCACACATGGCAGGTGGGTGTGTAAAGGCCAGCAACCATTTTAGAAAACAGACTGTCATTACGTAGTAACCCAACCTGTGCCGTGACCTGCAATTCCCATGTAGGTATATATCCCGGAGAAGTTCTAGAACATGTGCCCGGGAGCCATGTACTTTATAAGGATGTACCCCAGCAGTGTTCAGCATAGCAAAAACAAAACAAAATAAAATGGTGGAAACTACCCATAGGTCCATCAGTAGTAGAGTGGATAAAAAATTGTGGTGAATTCATACAGTGGACACAATAGAGCAGTGAGCTACAACTCTGTATACTAATGTGGCTGAACCACAAAAACATAATGTTGAATGAAAAACGCAGGTTACAAAAGAACTTACACAGTAAAATTCCGTTTATGTAAAGATCAAAAACTGGCAAAGCTAAACAATGTATGATTTAGGGGTGCATATGCACAGTTCAAAACTATTCAAGTAAACTCAGGGAATGGTTATTACAAGATTCACAAGAGTGATCGTGAAGGTAATGGTCCTACTTTATGCCTTAAAACCAGTATTCATTGTTACTATTATTTAAACTGTGTAAATCATTACAGATTCTTTTATATGTATTACTTATTTTACACTTTTTAAAGAGCCTTTTTAAAACAAAAGTCAGCAGAGATAGTGAGTGAGAAGCTTACTAGCTCACTCTGGAGGAGGCAGAGAAGAGGGCCAAACATCAGCTGAACCAAGAAAGTTGTTCTGGATCTAAACTCTGGAGTTCCACTCAAGGACAGCAGTTTGTACTAAAAAAGAAGGGCCTCAAAGCTCATGTGCATGGTCCATAAGCCTCCACCACCACCAAAGGGGTTCTGTGGTTGCTCTTTCTCACTCAATCTACCTGGTCATTAGCAGCCTTCAGTCCTCTGCTCAGTGCTACCTACAGTCTCCTTAGGCCTTGGTTTCCCCTCCATAAGCCTGCTGGAGCCCACAGTCTTTATCTACCTCTATATCTAGAGGGATCTAGCATTTGTCAGCTACTAAGTGGATTAGAATCCCCCAGTGGCCATTCATTGTCTGCAAGATGGAGTCCACGCTCTCTGCTGCCATCATGCCTTTGCAGAGGCTCTTTCTCTGCCTGCAGTGCCATCTTCTTGCCTCCAGCCCAAGGGGTCCTTGGAGGATAACCCAGCTGTCACCTCCTGTATGAGTTGTACTTAGTAACTAGAATGATTAATTGATGACATGGTCCTATCCCTATTAGAATCTGAGGCCTCCAGAACTGGAGAGTTTATTTAGCCTTCTTTTCACCATGAGTGATATGTCTTACAGAAGTCCCCCTCCACTCCCAAACTTCTAGGTACTAACTCCTTAGCTGCTGAATCATTGGGAGGAGGCAGGTGGGGGCAGGGAAGGGTCCAGGTAAGTGGGGTGGAGGGATGGAGGACTCAGGACAGTATATATTTTCCAACCTGTACAGAAATATTTAAATACTTTAACAACTGGCATGGCCATTATAAACCCAGCCCTCTGTATTTGTGAGTTTCATATCCATGGATCCAACCAACCACAGATCAAAAATATTTGAAAAAGCAATGGATGGCTATGTCTGTACTGAACATGTATAGACTTTTTTCCTTGCCATTATTTCTTAAACTATACAGTATGACAACTATTTACATAGTGTTTACATTATATCAGCGTTAGAAGTAATCTAGAGATGATCTGAAGTATACAGGAGAATGTGCATAGGTTATATGTAAATACTATGCTATTTTATTTTTAATTTTTTTAGAGACAGGGTCTCGCTTTGTCACCCAGGCTGGAGTGTAGTGGTGTGATCACAGCCCATTGCAGCCTCAAACTCCTGGACTCGAGCGATCCTGTTGTCTTTGCCTTCATCTCAAAACGGACTGGTTAGTGGATGGGTATATAATCCAAGTTGGTCTGATAAGCCTCAGTCCTGGGATTTTGCTTGAATGCCCCCAACCCCTCCACCCTCTCCAATCACCCCATCCCCAGGCTAGCGTCTGGAGCTTCTGGAGGCTGTCTTGCCCCCATGAAGGGGACCTGTTGAGAATGAAGCGCAAGACGGTGGAACTGACATATCAGAAGATTCAGGCTCCTGCAACCTGGTTTAAATCCCTAGACCCAGAGGCACCTGAAGATCTGCCTGGCTGGCACCTTTCAGTTAATTGAACCAATATATTTCCTTTCTTGCTTATGACATTTTGACTCACGTTTGGTTTTTGTTTTTGATTTTTTTTCTTTTTTTGCCTTTACAAGTCCAGTCTATTTCAGGTGGAAGGATCATTTCCATTAGGAAAAAACACAAGTCTAAGTTTGTATATGAGTATCTCTTAATTTTTTACATTCTATATATTTTGGTAGCTCACCTTTCACCAAGTAGAACATTTGACAGATTTATAAATGAAGGAAAGTCCGGTGAGTTCACGACTGGATAGGCATGAATAGGAACGAGCAAAGTGTCATCTCCCTGAAGTTAACCAGAAAAAGTCAAGTTTAACATTCTGAAGACCACAACTTTTAGACAAACTTGTAGATGCTTTATTTCTTCTCTTGTTTTCTATCACTAAAAAATATGTCCTTAAGAAACTTCAGTGCTTAACTACAACATTAGAAATATTGAGTTTTCTTAGCCATAAACAAAGTAGAGAAAATTTTAAGTACTCTTTATCGAAATGAGGTTCACTATTATCCAAAGAAGCCAAGATAATGATGCCCCTGAGAGATATGAAGACAGTAATCTGTCTGCTTCTATTTCAGAAAATTATACGGAATCACAACCTTTAGTGGCCCAAGCAAAAGAGAAACCAGCACAGAATCATCTGATTCAGATAGCACAGAATGGAAGACAATGTATTGGCAAGAGAGCCCAGAAAGCATCTTCTTGTCTCATATGACGTTAACCTTCAGAAGGACCTCTAACTTCTCCAGGCACAGTTTCTCTCTTTGCAAAATGGAGATAATCACATCTTTCCTTAAAGGTGTTTTTAAGAATTAAAGCAGATGATGGCGTTAAAAAGTCAAAAGTATTGCACAAAAGGTATTATTATTAGCATTATTTGGGAGTAGCAGGAAATGCACCCTGGCAATTTATACAACGCCTGTTCAAGGGATTTTTCTTCTGTTCAGTGCAGAACATTCCTTCTGGAAGCAACATTCTGATTTTGTTTTTATTTTAATTGAAACTCCAAAAAATAATAATGGTCTACCACACTCTTAAGGAAATGTGCTTCTTGATCTAAAATACTATTGTAGGTATGTTGGGTGTGAGGTTCTTTCCTTCCCCCTATGGAAATGCAGCTCTAAGATGATGTGAGTCAGAGACAATACACAATTTATAAGTTAACTTTGCAAATTTTTATAACTTTTTTGGAAAGAAAAAGTGAAATGCTTTCAAGGTAAGTCACCTTATTGTACAGATTGTAAGAAATAAAAGCATTGCTTGAAAAGAAAAAAAGTAGAAACTCATTTGTTACTCATGTATACTTTCTGTTTTGGTTTTGAAATACCAAGAATTGAGTTAACCTAAGGGCTTCTCAAGCTGAAGATTAGGTCTGGACTACAGAGCAAAGCAAGGCACAGAGAGGACAGCTTGAAGAGAAGGAATGACAGCAGCTCTGGCTGGAGGCCAAAGGATGAATTAGGTGACCTAGGAAGGAGGTCTCAGAAGAACTCAGAGAGTTCCCACCTCCCAGAACCACCCCCATCCCCTGCACCAGGGCTGCCTCTGCAGACATTCCCAGGCACAGGCCAGTAGCTGGTGTTTATAATCACAATTCGGATGGTTGTTAATTTTTCAACCTACACTTAAGGGAGTATGTTAAAGTTGTTTGAAAAGGGCTTCACCAACTGCCAGCACCACATGACAGATGAGGCTTTAGGCACAGGGCAGTGGGAAGCCTGCAGCAAACCGCATCTCCTGACTCTGTCCAGGTCCTCTGCAGCCTAACACTTTCCCAGCTGGGGCCACGTTACTGGGCAACAAGCCTTGCATGCTAGTCACACTGGTGACCCGGGGAACACCCGGCACTGGGCCAAGAAAGCTCTCAGTGGTCATTCCATCTCTCTTTCTTCCACCCTGGAGAATATAAGTTTTAAACCACCATCAAAAAAGAAAGCAATTTTAAGAGACCCACCTTACAGTGAATGCGGATGCAGTCATAGTAGTATCGCCACTCATCTGGAGAAAATGTAACGGTGACCGTGAGGGACAAGCCAGGGAGCAGGCGGTGTTCCTGGAAGACAGGTAGGAACCCTGGACTGCACAGAAAGCAGCACCGGGGGTGACAACACACCGCACACCCACCCCACACAGGCCTGAGATGTAGACAACCACAACCCAGCAAGACACTGTGGGAGGACAGGTAACCAGTGATGCTTACCTTTATTACATAATTGATCTCAAAGTATTTGGTTTGCGGGGGTAAAATATGAACACTTGTAACTTCATTGGAAATATTGATCAGGTGCTGCGAGAGAAAAAGAAGTATTTAGAGGAAATACATGACTTTAGTTATGTGCATATTCATCTCATTTATGTAGACTTCATCGATTTCTAAAAGGATTTGAGGAGATATCCTGTATTTTTTTTAACTTTTTAAAAGATGTGAACTACATCATATACCGTTTAAAGAATAAACACAACATACACCATTTCAATAATTATAAAATGTGCCCATGTACCCACCTTCCCCCTTAGGAACAATACCAAAGCCTGCAGTACCCACCCCCACCATAGTCTGAGACATAGCATCCTTAGTAGCCCCCTCCCCACAGTCCTGAACGTTCCTGCGGGTGCTTTTTGTTAAACCCAGTTTAGTCCTGTGATTCAGTGGAGCTAAGAAGTCAGGTACCAACTCCTACAGGTTCTCTAATTACATGCCACTGGTTTAGGGGCCAGAGGACACTGAGGCCATCAGAAAGTCAGGAAAAAGAACGTGGCTAACACAGCCTCCAATCCATGCCTGGGGCAGATGAAAAGGAACTCGAGGGTGGGAATTCTCTGGCAGTGATGGGAGAAGGCGGTTCCCGTGACTGAGGCAGGATCATGTCATGGATACAACAGCTGGGTCTCTGAGGAAAGAGGTATTTTTCCTTCCTGTGTTTGAAAGGGACTTGGGAACTTTGAATTCTGGGGCTCTGGGTTTTGCCTGGACCTGGGGAAGGTTAGGAGACTTTTGGTTTCTGAAGTCTAGTTCAGGAAGGCCCGTTGCTTAGGGCCTGACATTCTTCAAGGCTCTAAATTAGACTTTAGACATTCTCTCCTGATGAGGGTACACTGTATTTGCATATGTTTTTGTTGTTGGTGGTGGTTTTTCATTTTTGAGATAGGGTCTTTCTGTGTTGCTCAGGCTGTAGTGCAGTGGCACAATCATAGCTCATTGAAGCCTTGAACTCCTGGGTTCAAGCAAACCTCCCGCCTTTGCTCCTGGGTAGCTGGAATTATAGGTGTGCACCACCATACCCAGCTAATTTAAATAAATTTTTTTGTAGAGATGGGGTCTCACTATGTTGTCCCGGCTGGCCTCAAACTCATGGGCTCAAGGAATCTTCTCACCTCGGCCTCTGAAAGCGCTGAGATAACAGGCGTAAGTCACTGTGTCTGGCCATGCAGTGTTTCAAAAGTTCTTATTTATTACGTGTGAATATTCTTAAAGCACTACAATTGTTGTGACCCTGTTTTGGTATATCTTCTCTTTCTCACAAAACATGTTAAAAGCCCAAACAAAAAGTTTCCCAGGCCTCTCTTGGCCTCCAAGGGGCCCTGCACTGCAATGGGCAGTCTCGGTGAAGGTATGGGTTCCCAGGTCCCAGACCCAGAGAGCAGCCTTTCTGAGAGAGACTGGGAGGAGAGATGTGCTGAGTCCATCACACTCAGAACCCTGGGGTGACAGGACCTGCCTGAGGATGGGCCACTCAGCCCCAGGCCTGGAAGCCTTATCAAAGAGCTCTGTCCCTATGCTTCTCATTGGGGGAGGGCTGCGAAGTCCTCAAGCTGGAGTCCAGGAAGAACTGGAAGCAGAAGCGGTGCTATCATCTGTTATTACTCGAAAGTAATTCAGTAAGAACACTGCAACAAGCAAGGGTGTATGAACTGGTTTTAACATACACCCTGGGAGTGGTTAAGCTTAGAGGAAATCAGCAATCTGCACTCTAGGAGTGCTTTGTGAGCACTGAAGGATCCTGACTCAGCATCTACACTCCAGAGGCAGCCACCAGAGTGTTTCAGTCATGCCAACTAAGTCCATGCAGGAGAGTCTTCTATCTTAGCAGAAAGAATACTCAGAATCTACAGATTAACTAGAAATATTATCTAGGCATTTCCACTTTTGAACAAAAGGGATATGGGAATCTAGTGAGCACAAAAAACCAATATCCTTTAGAATGAAATTCAAGGGCCCCAGACTCCCTTAGGCCCCCATGCTCTGCACTTTACAATTCAGTCAGCGAGTTGTCACATCTGCTGCCAGCAAAGCCTCCCCACCAGGAGCTACAGCTGGGACTTTGTGCGATTACAAACACCATGATGTTTTTGCGTGCTTGCTAGTGAGGGTTCATATGTGGTGCAGAATATCTTCTCAGACCTGTTCACTGCAGCAGACCACCTGACCTCAGGTGATCCGCCTGCTGCTGAGGAGTGGACCTATGACTCCCACATGCTGTCAGGATCAGACTATCAATATCTGCCTGACAATTAGAAATAAGCTCACTGGCTTAGGTCTGTTTCCAACAAATGACATTATGGCAGAAGACCAGAATAGAGATCTGTCCTCAAAGCTACTGGGTTGGCTCCGTTTTTCAGTATTCCTGAATGGTCCCAAGGAAGACAGGAACCTAAACTCCCAAGACTGGAGATCCAGTCCGCACCTATGGACAAATAGAGAGACCTGACCCTTCCTCCAACCTGAGTGTGTCAGAGCAAATCCAAATCTATCCACTACCCATTTGAACATGAAGGGGGCAGGCTAGAATTCATGACATGATATCTATGTTGTCAAGTGAGTGAAAAATTAGCAATAAGAAGGCCGGGCACAGTGGCTCACATCTGTAACCCCAGCACCTTGGGAGGCTGAGGCAGGCAGATCACCTGAGGTCAAAAGTTTGAGACCAGCCTGGCCAACATGGTGAAATCCTGTCTTTAATAATCATATGAAAATTAGCCAGAGGTGATGTCAGGTGCTTGTAATCCCAGCTACTCTGGAGGCTGAGGCAGGAGAATTGCTTGAAACTGGGAGATGGAGGTTGCAGTGAGCCGAGACAGTACCATTGCACTCCAGCCTGGGCAACAAGAGCAAAACTCTGCTGCAAAAAAACACCAAGAAAATACTAGATGATTTCCTTAAAGAATAAAACAACATAGATCCAATTTGTGTCAGTAAAAGATACATTATTTGACTATAGTTTCCCACGTCCACCTTTAAAAGATTCTTGATCTGGGCCGGGCGCGGTGGCTCAAGCCTGTAATCCCAGCACTTTGGGAGGCCAAGACGGGTGGATCACGAGGTCGAGAGATCGAGACCATCATGGTCAACATGGCGAAACCCCGTCTCTACTAAAAATACAAAAAATTAGCTGGGCATGGTGGCGCATGCTTGTAATCCCAGCTACTCGGGAGGCTGAGGCAGGAGAATTGCCTGAACCCAGGAGGCGGAGGTTGTGGTGAGCCGAGATTGCGCCATTGCACTCCAGCCTGGGTAACAAGAGCGAAACTCCGTCTCAAAAAAAAAAAAAAAGATTCTTGATCTGGAATTGTTCATTTGGATCGACAGAGAAATAAGAAACAACAAACTCAAACAAAAATGTAGATATTTAGTTAACAGGAGTTCAGTAACAGGAAGAAAATGTTCAACTTGTGCTTGAGATCTGAAGTGAAATGGAGACTAGTGGAGACTGCAGGCCTGGAGAGCTGGGTGCAGTGGCTCACGCCTGTAACCCCAGTTACTTGGGAGGCAGAAGTGGGAGGATCACTTGAGCCCAGGAGTTTGAGGCTGCATTGAGCTGTGATCCACGTGGCAGATGGCAGAGAAGGCAGTCAGCAGACCATAGTGATGGTGCGGGCAGGGATATTTCAAACAAATAACGCCTAAGACAATTCCAGAAGACATCGTGCCAACAAACTTTTTCAATGAACTTAAAACAACAACAAAACATGACAAATTACAGCAAAAAATGAACAGTTCAGTCTCTACACTTTAGAAAACAAAGTCAACATCCAACAGACTGACTTCCAAAATAGAAGATTGTATTAATTTTGCAGTTCTCAATTTTTGGTTGCAAGTTCTCATTGCTTCCCATAATCATCCATGTTCTGTGTCCTATCAAAGATTTGTCTGAGCCAGGAGGAGTGCAGAGGCCATTTTGTGCAATCTTCTTATTTTATGAAGACATAGTGAGTGGCCTGGTACTGTCCATGCTACAGGGTGAGTGGAAGACCAGGGCCTAGAGCCCGGTCTCCGGCTCTGGGCTAGGGCTCTTTCTACTACATCCTACTGTCTCAAGGTTCAGCGCATCTCAGCGCCAGCCTGCATTCCCTATCTTGCTTTTTATACTTTATCAGCAGATCAGTTTTATTTTTAGATCGTTATAAATAATATCCTTTCAGGGATAAAATGGCAGTCCTGCCTTTCCATTTATAATTAAAACTGGAAAAAATAATCATCATCCAAAGAAAAAACAAACCTTGGGAAAATGAATCACGTGCTTAGAAAGTGGATGTTAATATGAAAAGTTTATTTGAAAACATAACAAAACACAGATAACCCAGCGTTACTCTCAGGCAACATAAAATCACCTAAAATCCTACCCCGTGTTTCAATTTGGGGTCAGTAGACCTCCTAGTCCCTCCAGGATCTCTGTTCCCCTGGGAACTGACCTTCTGCTAGCCCTGGGGGTCCCCGTTTTCTCAGTGCTGCCCCCACAGGGTACCATATTTACTCCAATGTGAAATTCAGCCCCTTCTAGAGTTTTTCAGAACTGCTTCTGGCTCCACAAAAACCTCACAAAACCCATCAATCACACATCAAGTAATCATAAGTTTAACAGCCATTACTCAGGATTTGTAGAAATTTCCCCAAGAGGGTTCACAGCTCTCTTCACTCCCAATCCCATGCTGTTTCTAGCTCCCTTCTGTGTCTCCTCAGGAGAGTCTATTCTTTCCCTCCTTCTAGAGGGAACAGCAGAACCTGCCCTCCAGTGAAGGCTTGGCTTGGAGTGGATGGGGGCTAACCTTCAAACATAACACTTGAGCCTGCAAGTTCAATGCCACAGCTTCTCAGAGAAGGTTCATACATGAGGGATCTGGGGACAAAATTCAAGCAGCCTTGTAAGTTCTTTAAAGTGTTTTATTTTAAAATGCATCTTGGTCATGCATTTGCTCTAAAACTTTGCTCTATATTGCATTTCTCAAAAATGTAAGCATAAAATTGATGCTCTAGAAAAATGTACTATGTTTATACCATGGCTTCAATTC